AAAAAAAAAAAAAAAAAAAAATTCAGTTTGAAAATTCTGAGGGGGCAAGTGGCAAACTTAAGAAAAAATAAATATATATATATAAGGGTGTAAAAATAATTTATTTTACACATACTTGTTTCTTATTGTTAAAAAAATTCAACATAATCGGATGAAAATAATGAGAGGCTAAGAGACTTTATGATTTTTGTGGGGCAAATTGCATGAAAAAAAGTTAGGCTGAGGGCAAAATATAAAAATAAGGAAAGACAGATTATAAATAACCCTTATTATATTAAGAGTTTTAATTTTTTTAAAAATTGCCCCCCTCAACAGTTTAGTTCCGCCATTGGCCTTTATTGCTTAGCTATCAACATCCAATCGCTGTGACCAGAGTGGTGTCGCCTGACTGTCATTGTTTGACCATCATTGCCCGAACTATCTAATTATCACATATCCAACATTCTCCATCACATTTATAAAAATACAAACTTATAGTCGATCTTTTCATCTAGGTCAAGTCAATTGAATCATTTTTTTATCTTTGTTGGATTTTCATACAAAGCAAAGATGTGAAAATTACACCTATATTGTGATGAATTTCTTAGCACACATTAAATATATTTATATTTTCAAATTTGATAATATTATCAAATAGTTTAATTAAATTTAGTAATAATCTGGGAAGCATAAAATTAAAAACACAAACAATAAAATAATTTTATCCTAATACAAAATATATCACACTATGATAACAAATTTTCTCCCATTCCTCTCTTATTTTCCCAAACCAATTTCACCAGCAAAAAACTGAGAACAGAAACATATAAAATCCTAACCAAAAACTAAAGCAAAAAGCGCAGCCACCGCAGCAGCACCGCCGACAACAGACTTACCGGCAGCAGCAGTAGCTCTGTTATTATCCGCCGCCTTCTGATCCTCCGCCTTCCCGCCCGGGCTCGCCGCTGGTGGTGTCTCATGCGTCCGGTTCTTTTCAGCCGCTTTCGGCGAATCAGCAGCCTCCACTGGTGCCGGCGCCGGAGCCGGCACCTCCGCCGGCTTAAATAGCTCCGTCGGTTCGAGCACCTCATCAATGGAAATACCTCTACGTTCCTAATCGGGTCATCAGAAGGCCGTTGTTAACCCCACATGAGACACGTAAATTTTCTTTATTAAATTTAAATAAGGATTTAACTTTTAACATTACATAATAGAAAAAAAATGATTCATGTTGCTAACCCCACGTAGTGAGACAAAGGCTTGATGTTGTTGTAGAAGTTAGCATGCTAGTGATTTAAATGTATATTATAATAAACAAAATAACTTTGTTTTAAACTTTAGGAACATTTTAGAGTTCATCAATTATGTTGTCGGACTCTTCATCTACTAACGTCTCTAATCTGATGTCCTACTCGCACCATCAATCGTTCCTCTTTAATTTACTTATGCTATCCAAGTTCTATTAATCGATGACATATTTTTGATGTCAATCTTCATCAACATCCATGAATTGATGTTTTAGTCACAACGCTAAGCAATCACCCTCATCAACATTATGATTTCGTTTGAGACAACTTTCTTAATACTTTATGAAATAATTTTTTAGCACATTTTTTTTTTGTACTAAAAAATTACTTCATAAAACAATAAGAAAATTGTCCCAAATGAAGCCTATATCTTTTGGCATTTGATGTCGCCTAAACACTCTTAGGCTTCGTTTGGGACAGTTTTTTTATTGCTTTCTAAAACAGAGTTTTAGTACAAAATTTTTTAATTTTGTACTAAAACTCTTTTTTAGAAAGCAATAAAAAGCCGTCCCAAATGAAGCCTTAGTTGATCAAGATGCTTTGTCATTCCACTACTAACACCGGCTTGACATTTATCAACACCATCGAATGACACTGAACACCTCTTGTAATTGTTACCATATTTGAAAATAATCTTTAGTAATCGTAAATTTTTTTATATATTGTCTCTCCTCAATTATGAGAAAATAAGTCTTAATTTTAAATAAAAGTTTATATATTTGTGCTTTGGGGGTAATGTCATATTTATTTTGTCTCTAATTTTTTTTCTATAAATAGTCATTTACATCTATGTAATTTTATTAATCTTTGTTTATCTATTTGTCACTATTTTTCTTTATAAATTTATAGCCTATAATAATTTGTACATATTTAAAAAATATATAATAAATGTGAATTTAGCTTAGCATTAAAATATATAAAAACGACAAAAAATGCAGTAGGGGCCCACAGGCCACATGGCACGCACGTGCTCTAGGTTACTTAACCGTATCGGAGGGCAAATTCGTACCTCCACAAATTCGACCGCAGATCGATGGAGATTTTGCCACGTGTTTTCTGATCCAGTGACCACGCTTTTAACGGATTACTTCCACCGACTCGGCGTGTCAGCTGACAGCTTAGGCCCATCTCTCTGCATTTCAAAGCCACATTCTTCTTCCACGTGTAAAGTTTAGGTAATTTGCCACGTGGTGATCAAGTGCGGTGTGAGCGATTGTTCGCTGTTTTGTAAAAAGAACAAATCCGCCTCGGTGTTCTTTATTGCTAGCGGTGAGGGCTGTTGGGTCAGGAGTGGGCAAAATCATTGGTGTATCTGCACCGTTCATTTATTAATCCACGGTTCGTTGTAAAGGTTAAAAAATTGTTCTTAACCTAGCTTGGATAATTTTTTTAATGTCAAATTTATAATATTGAAGAAATAATATTATTATTATCAGATTAATAATGTTTTTGCAGTTTTAATATTTTTTAACACTTTACAAATTTTCTTTCTCATTTGATTTCTTTTTTCATTATAGGCTTTGCTTGGGACTTCTTTGATACTATTTTTTAAAGTAATTTTTTAATACAAAATTTATTGAAATTTCTTGCGGACTAGAAAATACGCGGCGATAGAGATTTAAT